GGCACAAGCTGTTGCCTCGCGCGCCGCGCGGCTTCCCGCCTCCGCCCTTCCCCTGAGAGGACCCTCGCCATGTCCGTGCCTGGGAGGCCTGTGGCCCTTCGGAAAGGGAAGGTCTTCCCTCGGCCCGGGAGTGCGCGCCCTGGCGCTGCTGACAGCGCGAGGGAACCGGTCAGGGATTTGGTTTACCCACTTTGAAATGGGAAAGTTGAGTGTCTGACTTTGAGGCCGAGACCTGTTGCCAGTGTGGGCGGCTGGTGCTGAGAAGGTCAGATATGGCCTGAGAGCCAGGAGCAGCTCTCCTGTGAGAGGGAGAGGAGTTGGGTGCGGGGATAAACCAGGCAAAAATCATACAACAGTGAGAGCAGGGGTCTGGCTTTGAGGAGAAACAGCTTTATCTAACTGCAGCCAACACAGCCATGGACTCGTCTTTGTGACACATAAGGTGTCGGGTGCCTTACATGTCTTTTAGTGAGGGAGAAGAGGTACTGCTTGGGAAGAGTCCCAAGGAGAGAATTTTCCACAACTGCTCTCCATCACTGCTAATGGACAGGTGAGTGTGGCTAGTGTCTAAGAGGAATTCTCATCTCTCTGGAATTACAACTTGCTCAAAGAGGACTGAAAGTGCCTTAGAAAGTAATTTTACTAACATTTTTAATCAGTGATCAAGCATTCAAATGTGGCTGCCTGTATTTCTGCAGTATTCTTTCATGTGACTGCAAGCTTGCCTTGCCTTCCCAGTGAGCAAGCTGGAAGTCAGATGGCTGCAGTAGCACAGAATGGAGACCAAACTAATAAGCATTGCTGTTCAGTAGAGCCTGTTGTCTCATGGGTTGCATTGCACTAGTCAAAACGGGTTTATGTCTGCTTGGAGATAAACATCTGCCTGCAGAGACGATGACAGCATAGCATCTCTCCTGACTTCTGTGGGGTCCAGAATCTCTGAAAAACAAGCCACTTAGTTAGACTTAACTTGAAGAAATTGCATTGAGTGGCTTTTTCCTGCATCATTAACCAATAGTTTATTTCTCCTAATTTAGGTGCAAAACCAATCTGCATTGCAAAATTGATACAGGTAAGACAGTGAATTTGGCTTCCTGATGATATGTAGTTATCCACAGCTGTGTATGATGTAGCTGGTAGAAAATCAGGCAGGTGCATTTCACCCACCTCAGCCTATGGTCTGTGCTTATTGGATGTCTTCCTACAATGTCAAACAGTTAAATTACCTCAGGTTGAATATGGTTTTAAATCCTGGTCTCTCATTTCTTTGGGGATTATTTTGTCTATTAGGCTATTATATGACACACAGATATCTCTGCTGCTATTCCTGAATGAGGGTGGTTGTAGGAGCTATATTTATTGCTGAACACACACCAGTTTCCTATCTGGGTCTAGATACCACTGGGAGCAAGAAGTATTTAGTACCATAGTATCTCATAACCAGTTTTAGCTGTGCTTTCAGCAAAATGCTCAAGAAAAAACTTGGCACAAAACTTGCTTTTCAGCCTTTTCTAGACCCCTTGAGCTCAGAGCAATTTGTGCAATTCATTCAAGTTCTTCCTGTGTGAGACTTGGCTTCTTGGGTAGCAGGAGTGGGAACGCTTTACTTCAGGATTCACTTATTTGTCTTTGAGGAATGTGAATCGTTAAGTGAATTTTTGTGTAGTGATTGTTAAAAGTTGTCCTGGTTTCAGCAGGGATAGAGTTAATTTCCTTCCTAGTAGCTGGTACAGTGCTGTGTTTTGGATTTAGGACGAGAACAATGTTGATAACACACCGATGTTTTAGTTGTTGCTAGGTAGTGCTTACACTAGCCAAGGACTTTTCAGCTTCCCATGCTCTACCGACTGAGAAGGCTGGAGGGGCACAAGAAGCTGGGAGGGGGCACAGCCAGGACAGCTGACCCCAACTGGCCAAAGGGATATTCCATACCATGTGACATCATGCTCAGTATATAAAGCTGGGGGAAGAAGAAGGAAGGGGGGGATGTTTGGAGTGGTGGCATTTGTCTTCCCAAGTAACCGTTAGTGTGAGGGAGCCCTGCTTTCCTGGAGATGGCTGAACACCTGCCTGCCCATGGGAAGTGGTGAATTAATTCCTTTGTTTTGCTTTGCTTGCGTGCGCGGCTTTTGCTTTACCTATTAAACTGTTTTTATCTCAACCCATGAGTTTTCTCACTTTTATCCTTCCGATTCTCTCCCCCATCCCACTGCGGGGGGGGGGGGGGAGTGAGCGAGCGGCTGTGTGGTGCTCAGTTGCCAACTGAGGTTAAACCACGACAGTCCTTTTTGGCGCCCCTTTGGTTTCCTCAACGTACTTGTTAGGGATTGCAGGTTTTCTCATGTTCAGCAGAACTTTTGTGTGCTTAACTTCAAGCAAGTAAGAAATTCCCAACGTGCCTAGCAAAGCAGTTAAGCACACGTAAGCATGTGCTTTAAAAAACAACCCAGTGCTTTATTATGAAAAGCTAAGGCCAACACTTCCTCTCTCTCAAGGCCATGAGGAAATTCCTGTGGACTTCTATGGAGGTAGGATGTACCCTCTCATCACTGCCAACTCTCTCTCTCTCTCTCTTTCTCTCTCTGGCTGAGGTTTTCCCAGGAAGAGCCATCTGCTGCATGTAATGAAATAGTCTCTCTTAAAAGTCAAACTGTTCTGTGATCAGACTCACTATACTAAGGTCACACTAGCAAAACAACACTGAAGCTTTCACCTAGCTTCTCAGCTCTGAAACAGCATGCATAAATTAAATGTCTTTTGTCTTGTAACACAGAGTCAAACCACAGGCTGGGCCCACTTCTAGAACTTAAAGAAGGAGCACTCAAGGGTAAGTGCGCATTTATGGTTTGAGAGGTCAAATTGTTTATACTTTTAAAATTACTTGTCTATTTTTTTTCTCCTGTGTGCAAATAGAATGTGTATCATAAAAGATAAATGAAGAAGAGCGCGTTACTTTATTCTTAATGCACTACATGAATATAGTGATTTATACTGTTACTGAACAGGAAATATGATTTGTTATTTGCTTCTGCTAAAGTATAGTCATTTTTGCTCATTTTGATAGATTTATTTTTTTTTAAAACGTTGCATTTAGACTTCTGCTAAATGTTTCTGAAATTACACTCTGGTACTATTTCCACTGAGTTTCAGCAAGACAAACGAAATTGCAAAAATCATGCAAAAGCAAGCTTCCTTCTCTAAAGAATGTGTAAGTGATACTAGGTATCCCGAAATATGCATTTTATTCTTTCTAAATATATATTGCATGACCTAATACTCATTAGGTAAAAATTTCCTCCATTCCTGAGAAAAAATCTGGTCACTTGGTAGCATGTAGATGATTATCAGGCTAGATGCATGAATTGCTCATGCTGACAGTGTCAGATGCTTGGCAAATGTTAAAAATAGATTAAGACAGCTTAGTGTTAAGAATTGTGCTGTGATTGCTTATTTTAATTACTCTATATTAAGGTCTTTGTTAGAGAGCCAGTCATTTATTCTTCTTACATATAGCCAACGAATTATAGCTGTTAATACAATCGATATATGATAACTGGCTTAGATAATACAGTATTTTGCTAGTTTGATTTCTGACATTACATGCTCTTTGACAAGTATACTGCTTTAAATGTTTGATTTGACTGCAGTGTCTTGAAGGATTTATAGAAGAATAATATGGTTATAGTTATTGTTTGTGTTCCAGCATTAGGAATTCCAGACAGAACTGAGTCAGGCGGAACTACTGTGAGACACAGAAACAAACAGAAAATGCAGTCATTGTAAATCCTTGTGTGCATAGGTTCTCACTACTCTTACCCCATCAAATGTTAGACTCTATAGTAAGCAAACTGCTGTATAAATACTTACTATAGCCCTATTGTGAACAGAGTTCACAAAGTTATAATTGAATTCTAGAATTCCAGTTTCTGTTGTCTTGGAGATTTTAACTTTTACAGGGTAACAACATTTAAGAATGTAGGCATGATCACAACACTTTTGGAAAACGTTTTTATGGCTGTCTGGTACAATCACTTTGGAAAGCTTGTACAGACTAGGAGTGGAGGAAAGCGGATCACAAATTTCATGTGGAATTTCATACCATCAGTACCGATGGATGTGTGGAAAAAAAAAAAGATTCACAGAAACATGCCAGTCTTGATGAAACTTTTACAGGAAAACTTTTAATAAAAGCTTTGATTTCAGCTGTCTATCAGATTTACTAATCTGTCTATCAGATTTAAAATAGTCTTTGCAATATGATCTTTAAAGGCCCCTTCCAACCTAAACCATTCTACAATTTTACATTTAGAGAAATAAGAACATCCAACATGTCTGTAGGGGCTAATCTGCTCAAATTCCCGTGCTTTGCAGGATGGTTTTTAATCCAGAACCTATACTGTAACTGACTTCATCGTGAAGGACTTTTACCTGTTTCTGTAAAATGTGCAAATCTGAATGGCTTCTTTGAAGCCAGGAGAATTCCACACAGGGTAGAGGTAAAATACCTGCTTTAGGACCTGGGCCTAAAACCAAGTTGCTCGGAAGAGAGACTTTGGATCAAACTGGTGCTGTAGAGTCATCTACTGTTTTTTTTTTGTTGTTTGTTTTGGTTTTGTTTTTTTTCCATAAAAAACTGCTGAAGTATATACTAGGAATTGGCATCTACTTTGTTATTAGAAAACTAACTGCATTTCTTGATGTTTAATTAAGTAAATATACAAAAAAGGCAGCAAACACTTTGAACCAAGTAATATGATTGCTACTGTCATGGTTTAACCCCAGCTGGCAACTAAGCACCGCACAGCCACTCGCTCACTCCCCCCCGCTGGCATGAGTTTTCGCACTTTTACTCTTCTGATTCTCTCTCCCGTCCCCCTTGAAAGGTGCACAGAAGTCTCTTAAGAACACAAATCTGCTCTGAACTGCAGTGCTTGAATTGTTGAATTGCTGAACTAATAGTGATGTGTCTGAGGGAGCTACCACTTCGCCTGTCATCAAGTAGTGTTCAAAAACCACATCAGGACTCAAGAAATCAATGAGCTTTGGCTTGAAAATCACGTAGCTTAAAAAAAATACAAATAGATACGCCTCTCTATTTTTCTTTTCGTTTTAGAACATCTATTTTTTATGTTTTCAAGGTTTCTTCTTTATTGTAGTGGCTGGTGATTTAGAGATTTATTTTTATGGAAACTGAAAAAGGAGATTTTCATGTTCTTACCTGATGCACAGAACCTTCAGAAATACATCCTCGGATTTTTGATTAACACAGAGAATTACTGGGGAGTAGACTATTGGTTATAATCCTTTTGCAGAAACAACAGCAGGAAATACTCAATGATTCAACCACAGATTTTATATTATTCATAGGAATGGACTATAAAAACCTATATCTGCATTGCAGATGGACTTACACATTTGTAGCTTTGTGTGTAGAAGTTCAATGAAAGTTAATCCTTGACCGGATAAACAAAAGGGATCTGCCAGATTTTGTGTGGCTCCGCAAGTGTGGACAGTGGCAGATAAGTTACTGAAGACATGGTCTGTGTGATCTAAGGCTATTACAAACACACATTATGTAGCTATCCATTTTTCTTGTGTTTTCAGGTACCCCAGACCCAGTGTCAACTTGGTATAAAGAGACCAAAATATTAGTTGATGGAAGGATATTTCTTAATATGAAACATAGGAGGATTATCAGTTTCATTCCTCCTGTGTGTGTAGCTAAGATAACCCTTTGTGTGGGCTAATGCAGGTTCTTCTTTCCCACTCCTTTGCGCTGATGTGGGTGTAAAGCAGGGCATTTGCAGAACGCATACAGCCATACAGGGGTATTTATGCGCTGATGTGGAGCTTTTAACGTACCTAGACAATGCTTTGGTTGTCAAAGCATGTTTACATACATTAATTGTACTGCAGTACTATACAAGGTCTAGGCATAGATCAGGTGCCCGTTGTGCCAGGCAGCATTTGAATATGCAGAATGGTCCCTGACCCAAAATGCTGGTGCCTAATGATAAGGAGAGAGACAATACATGGGTATAGAGTGACAGGTCCTGTGAAAGAGGGGGAGGAGCAAATGCATCTGAAAGATAGGAATAAATCCTATTGAATAAGGGCGTGGGCTGAGCAGGACTGTACAGAGAACAGAGATTACATGATGAATAAATAGTAAATAAGAGAAAAAAACTTCAGAGAGGTAGTAAAGGGAATTTTTTCCACCGACTCTAGAGGAAATGAATGCCACAGAAAGACACAGATTTCCTCCTGCTCATGTAAAATGCATAAGCTTTCTGTAGAAATAACTTCTGTGAACGTAAAATTGCTTACAAAGGAAGATTTAAATTTTGGTTATAACTAAATAAAGTAGACAAAAAATGTGACGCAAGAGGAAAATTAATGGCCACTTTTTAAGTTTAATCAAATTTGTATATTTTTGTCAGTTAAAAATTTTTTTGCTGACATTAGGATTAAGCCCACAGTTCCTTCTGAAATCATTAGAAGCGGCTTTGGGTCCAAAACCACCTGCAAAATGGCTATTACTAAAAATTAAACTCATTTAAACATTGTTCCTTCCATGTTAAAGTATAATTTTTCAAAAATGTTTTGGTCTCAATTGGAATAAATGATCAAATATTGAACATTTTTTATTTTAAAAATATGTTTCAAATTGGGAAAAATGTTGGCATTTTAATGAAAATAAGTTTGAACAATCAAAATTTTTATTTAGAATTGGAATTTCAGACAATTTTTTCACTATTAACAAGTTTTTCAAAACCAGAATGGAATTATGAAGAAGTATGAATTTTAAATAAAAAAGCATTTTTTCTGAAAATTTACTTGAATTTGTTTTATTATATATTTTCCTTAGAGAAATGTTGAGTGATTGTTTTAGCCATTTTGATGCTTTTCCTAGTCATTCTTTTGCATAATATTATTTGAAACTGATTGTTTTTCACAAACGCTTTGATTATTTCCTGCCATAAAGGGATTTTGGTGAAGGATCGACAAATGTCTTTACTGCCTGTTGCTGCCTTGTTAATCTGACCATTCCAGGTTTTCATCAATTCTTTATTTCTCATAAATCATATCCAACCACAGTTCTGAGGTTAACATTTTCATGCTGCTGCCAGCTTTGTTTTCCCTTATCCTTAGTTCCTAGGGCATTAAGCTTAGGCAACATCAGACCCTGGTGATACGCGTGCAGTTTTCTTCGTGGAAGCGGAGACAGACCTGAGAGATGGGTGGAGGAAGGGGAAAGGGGAAGCCAACATGTCCAGGGATAGTGAAGGAGAAATTCACATTGTAGCTGCTCAGCAGTGGTAATTTGTGACTGAGGAATGATCTGTCATGGAGGGCAAGAAGGCCCAACTGCAGAAGGGGTTAAGCTGGCTGAAAACAGGGATGGCAGGGACAGAAGGACTCCCTGCAAGAGAGTAAAGTTCGCAGATGATAAACAGCCACAGTATTGTCTTGTAGCCATCCTGCAATGTGAGCGCTCAGGGGCCACCTTTGGGCAGCAGAGCTGGGCTGGGGGACGGGACCCATGGCAGGGCTGAGGCGCCCATGCAACCGCTCATGGATTGGTGCTGGTGCCAGTCTGTGTAAGGAATGGGCTCCTGACGATCTTTGCAGACTCCCTGTAGAACCGCTTATGGTGGTAGGACTCTGCCCAATGCATTGTTCATTAAATATTTTTTTATTTTATTTAAGCACAAACGTGTTTAATTCACCTCAAGTTGTACCATAAAAATTGCCCAACAATTGCCACTGTTCTGATCAGTAAGAAATGGAAAATATGTTTACAGGTCATTAGATAACCAAAATAGGTACCTTTCTTACCGTTACCTGCTAAAACCTGGTGGTGTTAAGTTCTCTTACATGGCTCTGCTTCACTGTCCTCCTGTCTAGTACCTGAATTCAGCAAGTAGCATCATTGGTTTCCAGAACAAGATTTGAGACAAGCAGCCAGAACACCCTTAAACATTTAAATGTTCTCTTGTCTTCTTTTCAATTTTCTAAACCCAGTTTATTAGGAATTGAGCTTATTTTCAGGTTACTTACTAGTCAATAGCTGATAGTCAGTTATCATGATCTCCCATTCATCTTTCCGTGGTGAATTTCATTATGCATCTTCTATCACAAGTTTTCTTGAGGAGCTGAGAGGGTATTATACGAACAGTTCTCTTTCCAATTTCTATCTAAATTAAAGAATTGAAATTATGGTTTAATATAATATCTTGTATTTTCTCCCCAGATTTTAGAAAAATAATGTCTCTCTATCTTGGGTGGAAAACCAGCATTTATTGCAGTTTTCCTCATGGAACATTATTTTGCTTTAATTTCCATTGGATCTGACAAAATGCACAGCAATCTAATCTGACAGCTCTTTTCCCCTCAATGTCAAAATGCAGCTGAATTAAGATAATGATAACTGTATAGTACAATTGCTTTAGTAAGGAGTATTCATGAGTCAATCTGCATTAAAAAAATGTTCCCAAGGCTTTTTTCAGCTGGGAAAATTACCATGCTTTTAAAATAACTTATACCCTCCAAAAAAGAGGAGAGAGGCATCTGGTCTTCTGAAAGCAAAGATCAAAGCAGATTTGAAAGAATGCAACAGGGAAATACATATTTAAGAGGAGATGGGTGAATGCTGGGGGGTAATTCCATGGCACTGTAATAAAACAGATGAGGAAAAGATTAATCTCTACTGCTCCTTTTTTTTTTCTGTTAAATATTTATATTTTTTAGAGTTGAAATGGAAAGCAAAATGTGATCAGAGATCTGAAAGGCTGAAGATAATGGGATCTGATGCCTTTTTTCTCTAGGCTCTTGTTGGACGCATGGTCGAGACTGTAGTTCAAAGGCCTGCATGAAGCAAGTGTACAGTATTGGCCCAGGGCCAGTCAACAGGTGTCCGAATTATTTAAAACCACCACAATATGCTCTAATATCCTCTCAATATCCTCTTCTTGTCATCTTCAGCAGGGACGCCCCTATTACAAGGGATTTTGAACTAGACTGCTCTTCAGGCTCAAAGGTGGTAGTCTGAGGAAGCCTGCATACCAGCTTCCTGCCCTGTACCTCCTGTGTGGATAACCTGAAACCATCTGTATGTCAGCAGCACTGTATACAGCAGTGCATGTTTCCCCCTCTTAGTTTCATGCTGCAAAGCATCTCTAGCCAAGCCACTGTGACCAGGCTGACTTGCACTACTTTAAAGCTGTTTTATCATCTTCTGTGTCTTCTGGCAACTTCCTAGCTACACCTCTGAGCTGACAATATACCTTTGTGGCACATCAGGCTTGCTCTTCAAACCATCCTTTCCTGTTGGCCTCCACTTTCTTGTGTGCTAGACCTTTGCCAATTTATTCCAAGGCTGAATTGACAAAGCATGTTGCCTCTCTGCTGCCTTTTCACTGCCTCCTCCCGCTCCCCCTTCTCATATCACAAACACTGAACTTCTCTCCGCTCCTCTGATCCCTTCATGCACTCCAGAGGCCCTGTGCTGATCTGGGTTGCCTGTTAGGAGGTGCTGAAGCCAGCAGCCTTATGGCAAGGCTGCTGCAGCTCCATGCCCACAAGTCCAACCAGTGAGGCTGAGCATGTGTACTTAGTAGGCACATATACACGTGTATACAACACACATATATGTTGTATGCTGGGAGAGGGTGCTGGTCTGGTTCCCCCATCAGCTGTTGTTCCTCTGCACTCCTTCATGTGTATGGAGACAAACTGTTTATCACACAACCTAACATTGTCCCTTCTAGTATCCTTCCCCTTAACGACCTTCTGTTCCTGCTTTTCTCCTCCCAGGTGACTCTGTGGAAAAGGTGTCTGTGCAGGGTTTGCCCGAAGGAAATGAAAATATACCTAGCTGCTTTGTGCTCTTTACACGAGAGGCAGATTCCAAGCAAGCCATGCAAGCCCCTTGCTATTTAGCCATTAAGCTCTAATCTAGCTCCCACATATTTTCTTACTAACTGACTTTGATCAGTCCTGCCTGCAGTGGACTGTGACATGAAGCTCGGTGCTGACAGGTCCAATGACTGCTCTGCTTGTGGCCCTGCAGAGAGCAGATAGGGCGCTATAAAGTGCTTGAAAGGGCGTTGGGAAAGGTTGCTGTGTGAGCGTGCTAGTGGCTGGTGGTCTTGCAGCCAGGAGAGAGACATTAGCTAAAAAGGTCACAATGGGAGAAGCAGAGAGAAGGAAAAGGAGAATGAATAGAGGTGTCTTTGAATTGCTTCATCAGATTAGCAGGATGGCAAGAAAGATTTTCCTTCTGTTCTTCATGTCGTACCAGTTCTGTGAATAAAAATAGGTCACTATTTTTCAGAGCTTTTAGTCTGGCATCCTTCATGAGTTCAAATTTACTTGAAACTCAGTTCTGCTACTTTATCTGTTTTCCTTTTTGGATCCCTGGATTGTGGAAGAGTCCTGCTGTGATTAGTGTGGGTACTCTCTGGTGAAGAATGACCCAGAGTGCCTCTAGTAGTATACAAAAACATCTCAAGTATCCAAAATCCTAAGATTGGGGAATGCTTAGGAAACAAGTTTTTTTTTAAATAAGAGAGATGATTCCATATTTCTTTGGATTGAGCTAATGGAAGCCTTTTGGTGTATTTCACTTTGTTTTTATGTAAGTTCTGCATTGCCACACCATTTTGCGACAACACAGCTAGAAGACTCAGTATGAACAGGAAATTGAAGCTAACCGGCCTCGTTTCATTGTTCTCGCACCACAGAAATTACAAATATCAAGCCAAAATACAATAGAATTGCTTTGAACAGAAATAGCCCTATAAAATCTAAACAGACTGATTGTTCCAGGTATTTCTACAAACAGATTTTGGAATTTATGTCAATTGATGCCAATTCAAGGAATAGCCTACTGTTGTGCCAGTGTGACTACCAAAATAGCAGGTACTTGGTACCTGTAGAAATCATGCACATGTGAAAATTTACATTGTCTGCAGATTACTATTTGCATTTAGAAATGTCTAAGCGACATGTGCTGAAGCCTATTTTGTGCTGCTGTGTGTATCTGCAGGCATGCTTAAGAATTTGTTTTTCTAGCACAAATCACTCCAGACAGTTACAATGTGTTGCCATTAAGTGTCATTGCATAGATAGCTGGGTTATAATGTTTGATCTTGATTTTAAAATAATGATTTCTCTTTTTTGAAAATGCTTGCAGCTATGTGTCAATTGACCACCTTTTAGAAAATATGTATACCCATTTTAGAAGTAATTTTAAACTTCAGATTTCTTTTATTTGCAGGTGCACAGAGCAAGATCTGCACCTGGAAACAGTTTGACAGCTAGAATGACCTGCTGTTCAACTTTTCTTGAACTGAAATCAGATAGAAAAAACAAAACTTCCCCAGTATTTGTTGTTGACCTAAATGACAATGTGGGGGACTTCAGGGTAAAACGAGCAGAACCAGAAACATTTTGCACAACACAAGAATTACCCCTATGAGGGTGACCCCATGTTAATTTCGCCAGATTCCAACTCTTCAAAAATCAGTGGTTTGCTGCTTGAGAAGCTCAGAAAAGCAGAAATATTGTCCCCGTTTTAGAAATCCCACAGACAGTTGCCTGACATGGAAGACAAGATGGATGTAAAAAATACATTTAAAACCCAGGAAAATACTTCCTGCTTAAGGGATTTTTCAGAGAATGGTGATGACCTAATTAATTTTAACAGTATGGTCAGTGTCACGACTGGAAAAGCAGAGAAATACTGCAGTGGACAGGTACATTCCTGCCCTTCAAAAGTAATCACTTATAATACAGACAACTGTTGCCTTAACACGGAAGACTCTGTATCTGGTCAGTCTCTGGCAGATGTCCAGGCATGTAAAAAGACTCTAAACATGAATACCCTATTCAGTGAGCAGGCAGATACTCCCATAGTAAATCACAATTATTTTGTAAAAGATGATTCTGAAAATTCTGCCACTATTCTGGAGATTTATGCAGAGGAAATTCCAAGTGTAAGTGATGACTTTTCTGGTGATAACCTAGAGGATTTTGACTGTTCAGATGTGCTGACAGTGCATGAAAATGAAATCTGGAAAAAGAAATTACAGTTTTTATTAGAAAGTGATGATGAAGATGATTTAAAACTGAGTAAGGATTGTGATGGGTGTGCTTACTTCCTCAGTGAAATGCCTTGTCTGTTCCAAGTGTCAGATAACACTACGCCTATGGATACCACCATTGGCTTCTGTGGTCATCACTCAAAATTCAACGGAGTAAATGTAAGGAGAGACCCCTCTATGTACAGCCGGTCAACTTTGCAGACAGAGATGACTCTCACTGTTGGACACCACCGAGATAAAAGTACCAGTTTGAAAGACAAAGAAAAGTATAACGTGCCTGTTGCATCTGCAGACATTGAAGATGACCATCCCAGAACTGAAGAAGAAAATAATGGAAGTGGCCACTCAGCTGCAGATTTCTCAACTGACAAATCAAAGAACAAGGATAATGTACGTGCCAAAGCGGACTCCTCTACTAATGGCATAGGTGCTTCTTTGACAAATCAGGCTTCAGAGACAATGACAGAAAACATTATGGACAAGGACTTGCTGGGTGAAAGCTCATTGCTGCTAGAGGAGGGGGGAAGAAATTTGCCGGAGGAAAATGCAAGGCATGCTGTCTGTACCTTAACAGAAAATCTAAGAAGAAACCTTTTAAAGTTGTTAAACCCTAAAGAGCTTTGCAGATACGTAAGTAATATAGGACAATCTTTCCAGACTGCAGCAGAGGTCAGGGAATCCAGTGCTCTGTTTCCCAGTCAGGAAGGTGTCATTTCAACACAAATCCCCGAGGAGACAGAAAGCTTGCAAATGCAGGCTGGTTTGTGTCATACAGAAGAGGCTGATAAAGAGTGTCATTGGGAAAGGAAAAGGACTTGGGGCCTGTCTGAGCAAAATCAGATGCCAAATGAAAACATCTCACCCAGGGTAAGTAAAGTGTTTATCATTTAATAGAAAGAGCTGCTCTGCTGATTTGAATGCATTTTATTCCTGTTTGTCACAAAATAATGTAAAATTTAAATTACTTTGAAAGATACTATTCATGAACTTCTGAATGACAGCTACGGCTGGGAAGGAAATCTGGTTTTGAAAAAGGCCCAAATAAACCATAAGCTGTTCTAATTATAGAGTGAGACTGATAATAGTAAGAGGCACTAATGGGACTCTGGACAGCTGGATAGGGAAATCCGATATGTAGGCTATTGCACAGGTCTTATCAAAGTAATGTTTCTTTCAGTCCAGAAAGTTTCTCAAATACTTATTGTGAGCAGAGAATGTTGTGATTTACTTTCTTTTCAGTTTATACTCAAAGAACAAAATTGTCATCTGCTTATGGTGCTGGAAATCTAAAACAAATCAATAGGGGTTTGCTCTGAATTTATAACAAGGAGGGGAATTTAATCCAGAGAGTTCATGTTACGGAGGTGAATGGAGCTTTGCTTTTTAAAAATAAAACAGTGAAAGAGTCAGATATTCCAGTTGAAATGTAAAAACCAGTTAAAAATAAAACCCCAAAGTAGTAGTCTCTGTGTACTTGCATATTTTATGTCTGTTGGTAGGAAATCAACTAGGGAAATCAGTATAGTTGTACAGACTGATATGATGCTCCACCAGTTTTCATAAGTGGGAGAATTGGATCATACTTTTTATTTCACATAGTAAAGACTGAAGGTACATAAATATATATATAAAGTATTAAATCATGAATAATCTTGTTATCACCAACTTTACTGATTTGAAAGTGCACAGCTAGTTGCACAGAAAAAAAACATTTATGACAAATAAACACAAGCTTTTTCCAGTTCCACATGCTTTTCTTCATCTATATCGTTTCAGTAAAAATGTATCCCAGTTCTGGGTAGTAGACTGACTTTAATCTCACCACTGGGGTGTCTTTAGCAGTCAAAAATCACTTGAATTCTTCTGCCTGAAAAACATCCATAAGTTTCTCTGTTTTTATAGTACTTAAAATTCCAATCATTTTAGCAGAACATAATGTTCTTATGATGGGGAATACCCCCCTATTGAAATTAACCTACTGAGAATTTCTTGACAGTATGTATTACCATGGTTTGCAAGAGGCATTGTTTCATTTTTTTCCAAGTGCAGTACAATAATTTAAATCCCGGAACCGTCTTAGCAAGGAGCAGCTGTTACATTACTGTAAGTGCCATGGCCAAATTTCAGATTGGCTGGTTAGACTGTTGCTACCTGCAGTCAGTATGTATTTCTTCTGTTTGTGTGTCCATGACCAAAACTTTACATTAGATAAAAATTAAGTAGGAAAGAAGTATCAGTGTACACAAAAGGTCTAGAGATGAGCACAAACCAAACCCCTGGTTTTAAACACGCATGAATGAAGATGAAATTTAGGTGTAGGTTCAAAATTATGTGGTCTTGAAAATGAGCCAAACGAAAGCATCCCATCTGGAAACTACTCTTTATAGCACAAGTAAAATGTGGACAGCTTCTCCCACGTCCCATATAGTAAGCCAGAAACTCCTCAGCAATCTGCTTGTGTAACCTAAGAAAGACAAGAAACAATCAACCTCCTATTGCTGCACACAGGTTTATGTAAAAGTGCACTGTGGTATTAGCTGGAGCCCAACATTTGAGACAGCTCTGCCAGGAGCAAGGTGAGGGACTTGTAGCAAAAATCACAGCTGGCTGCTTTTGAAGAGTGTTGTATTTTCCCTCTCCATGTGGTGAATCAGGTCTGCTGAGAGGTACATAGCAGCCAGAGAACCACAGCACTAATTACTTAAGGATTTACACTTCCCCTTAGTGCCAAGATGCCTCTAAATGGAACAACCTTTGCAGTCTGTCTTGTGCAGCAACTGCTGTTCTGGGTAACTTCTCCTGCCATTAGATGGTCAAGGTGGGAGTCTCCTGACTCCTCTCATGACCTCATGATCTAGCCCCAGGTGAAATTCTTTATTTATCTAATGCTTCAAAGCAGCTTAATTAATAATAGGTCCTAAAAGCCAACCGTACCAGCTGTATGATATTACATACTGTACAGAGAGCCAGGAGGCTTCAGGTTTGCAGCATGTCATTCAAGAGCCGGTCTCTGTTTAGTGTTCAGCCAGCAAACTCAGCCCAAGGTACTGGTGTCACTCCTGAATTACAGAGCCCATGTCTATGGCCTGCTGAATGCCAGCGATGTTGGTGAAGTCCTGCTGGAAAGGGCAGGTTCAGAGGGATTCGAGAGCATAAGCAAAATACTTAACATTTACGCTGATACACCAGGAAGAATGGCATGTGGTGTTTGTATATTTCTAGAGCGGTTTTTTCCCTGCTGATTAGATCTACTGTTCATCCTGCCATTATTTTGTTTTCACTTGTGTCAGAACAGCCTGTTCTCATAAAACTTGAGAGATACTTGGTTTGATCTTCCTGACATAAATTTATGTCACTTCTAGATAATTTTGAATTTTATTATACAAAAAGGAGAGAAGCAGAACTGACACAGAACTTCCAAGTAATCAGGTAATCTGGTTGTGCACAAAAAGTATTTTGTCTGGCACGTCATACTTCTGCTTTGTTAGATTCCAGGGTAGCCAAAATTGCCAGGACTGCATAGGCCAATGAAGCTAGCTGTTCATCTGTTGGGCTACTGGCCCTGTTCAATATGTTAAGATGGTAGCTATCTGCTGTTGTGTGTGATGTCCTAGAAGCTGCCATGTGTAAAGGAGAACTGTGATTTAGAGTGTTTGGTTGCTGGGGCACTCTTAAGTTTAGAGCTCCCTGCTCTGAGGTTAGTACAGAAATGCAGGTGCTAGTCATGTGCACTGCACTCCAACACTGTCATGAAGGAGAGGGCGTGTGCTGGGAGCAACATGCAGAAAGGGTGGAAAGGTAAGAGGGGAGGAAGGAGTTGGGTTACACAACAAAAGAAGAGCAAAATGAAACTGTTTGAAAGGGTTTCAGAACAGTTATGATGGGTTAACTCTGCCCGTGAGGAGTTAGATTGAAACCCAGCAAATGGTTTCAGGTAGGCCAATAAACAGCTGTTGGATGGGAACTGGTTTAATGGCTGGCTTTGAATACAAAATGGGCGAGGAGGACTTCTGTTCCAAAACAGTAATGAGTAAGAATTACTGTGCATGCCCAACACATCATTTTCAATCAGCTTATAGTTGTTTCGTTTTTCATTCAAATGTTTTTAAAGTACATCTCTGCCTCTTGTCTCATTTGAGTGAATAGTTGCTGGAAAAAATGAAGGCTTTTTGGTTATCTGAGCTCAAAACTTAGTCAGTTATAATTTTTTATGAGACATGTATTCTTGCTCCTTCTTGGTGCAGCTTGCCACTACTCACAGTTCTTTTGCTGGAATTTTGAAAAAACAGTTTGCCTAAACCTGTTTCCTATAACAGAGGAAGCTGGGATCCAAATCTCCTCCAACTTTGAATCTTAGCAGAAATTAGGTCTCTCATTTCTCAAAGTTTTTCACTTCATTGGAAAGTTTTGCACTCTGTATAAAATACTCAGTAGTCCTTGGATGCAGAATAACTCTCCGTCAAGTGGTTAGCATGCTTTGTTTCTGAATATTATATTCATACTATGTGGCACAGATCCAAAAAGAGAGTGTGAGAAGCTACACCTCATCCTTTCTAATAGGCTAGAGTGGTTGGTATTTTTGCTTGAAAAGGTCGTTGTCTCAGACTTTTGCTCTGAGTCTGGCTGAGATGAGAGCTGAGTGTTCCCAGGGAACGGTCTGAGCCTGAGCAGTATGCTAAGGGGCAGGAGCTCTGCATCAGAGCAAACAGGAGTCCTAGTATGAGTAACTAGAGCTCATGCAGGCTGTGATATCAACCCTGCTCATTCAATAGGATCTACCCTAGGGCTGGCAGATAACATCCCATTTTGTCACCTGTGTTATAGTTGGCTCCAGTCTTTCCTGAGAGACATACAAAAAACCTCATCCATTGAAAATCCTCACCACATCAGAGCATGGACCCATGACAGCTGTGCGTGGTCAGCCTATTGTTCTATGTTGTTGTCAAAGGCAGAGAACTCGCTTTCTGTCCTTTGAAATACTATAGTTCTTATTTAACTTCCTCTTTTTCTGCCCCTTTAGCAGGAATAGCAGGATGCTAGCAGGATGTGCCTGTCAGTAAGCATCTGTAGGATAAAATATAGCTCATGTCTTTTGTTTCACCTGTGTAAAGCAGTTGAAATAACTACAGGTATTGAGTTATTTTAGCTAATCCAAGGCAGGTGTGCCATGTTATTTTAGGAAAGAGGAATTTGAGTGGCATTGCATGAAACAGGGAAATAGAAAGAGCCACTAAGCTACTGCTGGAGAACAGTGTAAACCAAAAGCAGTTGCAAACATGGTGGATTTGAGGGAGCTCTGATCCAGAGGCAGTGATATACTTATTGTCTGTATTCTCGGGATGGTTTGTTACAGTCCTTTTGTACAAACAGAGGGATATAAATGTAACATGGAGACTTTATTTACAGTGGATAATTACCTTGCTAAACTATTTCCTCTTAAAAAACAGTGAGAAACCATGAGGTAAAGTTAATGATCTCATTTCAGAGATGAACTTCTTGCTTTCATTAACAGAAATGGTTCAGCTGATCAGGTGAGAGACTGATGTATAAATTATCCCTACATTTTGTAGGGGAAAGAGAACCAGAATAGCCTTAACTGATGCCTACTGAGTTTATTTGCAAGTGAATGTGACAATTTGTCACTCAGTCCAGAAACAAACTTTGTCACATTGGGTAAAGACGGTCCATTTCTCAGGTATGGCAAAGGGAGCAGAGAACAGCAGCTAACTCAGATTATACTGCGAAGATTCTTGTGATGCTCTGAGGTGTCTTTAAAAAAATCATGTGGAAAAGGGTCATTTTAATTCCATCTTTACTCATACCTTTTTATCAAACAGCAGTAAGGTGATTTAGCTGCGTTTCTGTTC